CTGAGCTAGACGCTGAGATTACAAAAACAAATCGGATGGGGTTCCTGTTTTCAATGCAGTCCCAGTATTCTTCTCTCCTTCCCTCATGTTTTGGAAGAAGACGGGCTCTGCTCTCTTCCAAAGCTCATCTTGCCACCTCCACATTCCCTGGAATCTCCTTCGGCCCGTCAGCACCAGTCATCACTTCGCTCCCCCGATTTCCTCTCTCGCCTCCCCTTGCTGTGCACGCAGCCTCACGCCTTCCCAGGCCTGCGCCCCGTCCTCAACTCGGCTTCCCCCGTGCTACTTTGTAACTCCCTTTGTTCCTCCTGTGGCTGAATGACATTCCACTGTGAGGATACCACACTGGTTTATCCACTCCTTGGTTGATGGCCATTTGGACTGTTTCCACTGTGGGGCTATAATGAATAATATGAACGTTATCAACATTCATGTACAGGCTTTTGTATGAACATATGTTTTCATTTCTCTTGACACCATGGAATCGCTGGGTCACATGGTAACCATTTAATCCTCTGAGAAACTGTCAGACTTTTCCAAAGCAGCTGCACCATTTTACGTTCTCATCATCAGGGTATGAAGGTTCTAATTTCTCTACATTTTGCTGATACCTATTATTATCCAATTTTTTTATTTTAACCATTCTTGGGAGGCAGGAAGAGTAGATCATTGTGGTTTTAATTTGCATTTCCCTGATAACTGTGGACTTCTTAATTTTTTAGTCCAGTATCTTCTTATTCCCTATCCAACATGTCCTTTCTTTAGCTTTTAACACAACTCAGCTGTCTCCCTTACACAGCCCCCAGGGTCTGCTCCTCAGTCTACCTTTTCTTCCTGACCCTGTGTCTTCTTTTTCTCAGCCTCCCTCACCGGCTCTTCCTCCCACCCTACACACTCTGATGCTCACCAGGCTCTGTCCTCCACCCGTCCTTGCCATCATCCCTCCATCACCCTGTTCATGCCTGTGCCTCTGACTGTCACCCAGGTGGAAGACCCTCGAACGTATATACTTCCCAGGTCCTAATCCCAGTTTCACTTTTAAATTATCTTTAATGAGAAACCCAATTAAAAGTTCAATCAAGTATCAATAAAATGTGTATGGCTAACATGCACAGAAAATATTGTAAACTATAAATAGTGATAATGATTCTTTCTTCCAGCTATCACTTAAAAATAAGTAGATAGATAATATTAAATATTGGAGGAACTCCCCAGGGAAGAGAGCATTAGGCTGTAGTATATTGTTTTCTCAGGTTCTTTATGGGCCAAGAAGGCAATTCATGCTCTAGCCCAGGAGTCAGTAAACTCTTGCTTAAGGGGCCAGATACTAAATATTTTAGGCTTCGCTGGCCATAAAGTCTCTGTCGCAACTAATCAACTCCACCTTTGTAATACAAAAGCAGTACAGACAACATGCAATTGAATGAGCATGACTGTATTCTAACAATACTTTATTTAAAGCATCTGGGCAGCCAGAAAGCCCTAGTCTGTGGATCTCTGCCATAGCCATCACATCTGCATTATAGCCCACAGGAAGAGGTCAGAGAAGAGAGATGCCTACTTTCTCCATTTAGAAACATTTCTACTTACCTGTCAT